TTCCTAGTACAGTTTATCATTAACTCTTTGCCTCCTGAGTATGGTCCATTCCATATGAATTATAATACCTTAAAGGACAAATGGAATGTGAATGAATTGCACAGTATGCTCGTGCAAGAGGAGACAAGGCTTAAGAATCAAGGAACTCATTCTATTCATCTTGTAAGTCGTCAAGGAGTTGGAAAGAAATATAAGAAAAGGTTTGGAAATGGCATTAAGCAAGGACCACTAAAGATAAATGAGTCTTCTGCCCAAATCCACAATAAGGAACACAAGAAAGATGTGTGCCATTTCTGTCGCAAACCTGGGCACCATAAAAAGGACTGCTTGAAACGTAAGGCATGGTTCGAAAGTAAAGGTAAGATTATTTCTTACGTATGTTTCGAATCTAATTTGGCAGAAGTTCCTTATAATACTTGGTGGATTGATTCTGGATGTACCACTCATGTTACTAATACGATGCAGGGATTCTTTTCAACCCAGACCATAAATCCAAATGAAAAGTTTGTCCTCATGGGAAATCGAGTCAAAGCTCCAGTTGAAGCCATTGGAACCTATCGTTTGATTTTAGATACTGGATATCATTTAGATTTATTTCAAACACTTTATGTACCTTCCATTTCTCGCAATTTAGTTTCTCTATCAAAACTTGATTCCGCTGGATATTTCTGTAATGGTGGAAATGGATGTTTGAATTTGTTTAAGCAAGATCATCTTATTGGTTCCGCTATTCTTTGTGATGGCTTATATAAATTAAAGCTTGATAATCTTTTTGCTGAGACTCTTTTAACCTTGCATCATAATGTTGGTACTAAACATGGTTTACTGAATGAACGGTCTGCTAACTTGTGGCATAAACGTTTGGGTCACATATCCAAGGAAAGGATGGAAAGATTAGTAAAGAATGAAATTCTTCATGACTTGGATTTTAGTGATCTTGGAATTTGTGTGGATTGTATTAAGGGTAAACAATCCAAACACACAAGAAGTACATAGCTTCTTGAGATAATACACACCGATATATGTGGGCCTTTTGATGTTTCATCATTTGGTGGAGAAAAGTATTTTATCACCTTTATTGATGATTTTTCACGTTATGGCTATGTTTATTTGCTGCATGAAAAGTCTCAAGCTGTAAATGCTTTAGAGATCTTTGTCAATGAAGTTGAACGGCAATTAGACAGAAAGGTAAAAATTATTAGATCTGATAGAGGTGGTGAATATTATGGAAAATATGATGAAACTGGACAACACCCTGGTCCATTTGCTAAATTTCTTGAAAGACATGGCATATGTTCTCAATACACTATGCCAGGCACACCACAACAAAATGGTGTGGCTGAAAGGCGTAATCGTACTCTAATAGAAATGGTTAGGTGTATGTTGAGCAATTCATCTTTACCTATTTCCTTGTGGATGTTTGCATTAAAGACTGCCATGTATCTACAAAACAGGGTTCCTAGTAAGGCAGTTCCAAAGACTCTTTTTGAACTGTGGACGGGAAGGAAACCCAGTTTAAGGCACCTGCATGTTTGGGGTTGCCCGGCAGAAGCAAGAATTTATAATCCACATGAAAAGAGCTGGACTCAAGAACAATCAGTGGATTTTTCATTGGATATCCAGAAAAAATCAAAGGGGTATAGATTTTATTGTCCTAATCATAGTACTAAAATTGTTGAAACTGGAAATGCTAGGTTCATTGAGAATGGTGAAGTTAGTGGGAGTTTGGAACCACGAAATGTGGAAATATAAGAAGTTAGAGTTCAAGTTTATCTACCCTCAACTTCTTCTAATGTTGTTGTTCCTCAAATTGTTGGACGGCATAACAATTTACCTGAACAACAAATAAATGAACAAACACCCACAATGAAGTTGCTACTAATGAACCTGCATTAAATGAACCACAAGAAATAGCATTAAGAAGGTCACAAAGACAACGTAGACCTGCTATTTCTGATGATTATGTGGTTTACCTACAAGAGTCTGAATTTGACTTGGGAATTGTTGATGATGATCCAGTTTCATTTTCACTTGCCATTGAGAGCGCCAATTCTAATAAGTGGTTAGATGCTATGAAAGATGAGTTAAAATCTATGGAGCATAATGAAGTCTGGGATCTCGTCGAATTACCAGAATCATGTAAAAGAGTTGGGTGTAAATGGGTCTTTAAGACCAAGCGCGACTCTAATGGTAATATCGAACGATATAAAGCTAGACTAATTGCCAAAGGTTTTACTAAAAAAAGTGGCATTGATTATAAGGAGACATTTTCGCCAGTCTCCAAGAAAGACTCACTCAGAATTATAATGGCTTTAGTAGCTCATTATGACTTAGAGCTACATCAAATGGATGTGAAAACCGCCTTTTTAAATGGAAATTTAGAAGAAGAAGTTTATATGGATCAGCCTGAAGGTTTTTCAGTTAAAGGAAAGGAACACATGGTGTGTAAGTTAAAGAAATCAATATACGGACTTAAACAGGCTTCCCGTCAATGGTATCTTAAGTTCAACGATATCATTATTTCTTTTGGATTTAAGGAAAACATCATTGACCGATATATATATCTAAAGGTCAATGGGAGCAAGTTTATATTTTTGATTCTATATGTTGATGATATCTTGCTAGCTACTAATGATCTTGATCTATTACACGAGACTAAGAAATTTCTCTCTAAAAATTTTGAGATGAAAGAAATGGGAGAGGCAACCTATGTGATTGGAATTGAAATATTCCGTGATAGGTCACAAGGATTGTTAGGGTTGTCTCAAAAAGCATATATCAATAAAATTTTAGAGAGATTTAAAATGGAAAATTGTTCAGTGAGTGTCGTTCCAATTCAGAAAGGAGACAAATTTAGTCTCATGCAATGTCCTAAGAACGACTTGGAACGCAAACAAATGGCAGCTATTCCTTATGCATCTCTTGTTGGGAGCCTAATGTATGCTCAGACTTGCACCAGGCCAAACATTAGTTTTGCTGTCGGAATGCTGGGCAGGTATCAAAGTAACCCATGACTTGATCATTGGAAAGTTGCAAAGAAAGTATTGAGATACTTGCAAGGAACGAAAAATCACATGCTCACTTATAGGAGATCTGATAACTTGGAGGTCATTGGATATTCAGATTCAGACTTTGCTGGATGTATGGATACTAGAAAGTCTACATTTAGCTATTTGTTCCTCTTAGCTGGAGGGGCTATATCATGGAAAAGTGCGAAACAGTCAGTT